GACAGATACAAACAGGAGAGTTTAGATTGTGATTATAAAGGCCATTCAACTGATGGATACGTCTAAAAGTTCATACTTTGAGAACAAAAGAAAGACTAGGAATTTGGTCGTTGTAGGGATACAATATTTTGGCTATAGGAAGATCCCTATATAAAGTGACAGTTGACACTATCTCGTTGGCTAACAAAAGTATTATAGTGAAAGTCTTTAAATAAAAAATTAACAAATGAATTCAGTGGTGATATGGTTAGATGCAGATGAAGACCAAGTAACGGAGTGAGTGCAATTGAGAGCGGTTAGGGATATTCACTATCAATGATAAATGGTAAAAACATTTCATTATTTTTAGACTATGCTTTAGGGCAGTGCGATTATTCGATTACTCGAGCAAGTTAGTTAATCAATTATTCGGTTAATCAATTACTCGAGTAATCAAGATTTTGATTACTCAAAACGATGATTAATCAAGTTATGATTACTCAAAATAAATAATTTTGCTCGTTAAAAGAGTTTGCTTTCGAAAATGCTTATTTTCTTTTTTACATTTTGAATATAAAAAAAAATTTCATTTCAATTTTTGAAAACAGAAACGTTGAACTTCAGCTGAACTTCAACTACTTTATATGTAAAGAGTACTTTGAAATGTTGATTACCCATTTTACTCAAAATGTTGATTAATCATAAAGCAAATTACTCAAATATTTTTGTTTTTGGTTAATCACAAATCTGGATTACTCGTGTAACTGAACTTTTGAGTAATCATAATTTCCAATTAATCGAATAATTGAGTTATTTACTTTGTGATTAATTAAAATTTTGAATAATCAATTAATCGCCCAGCCCTACTATGCTTTATGTATTTATAATTATTCCTTTCGAGTTATGCAAAAAATGTTCGCCTCAACAAGCAAGCGTTTCAGTACGTGTTAAACGTATTTATACCGGACTTAAACACTACCCGAAAATCAACAGCGATTCCGCCAATTATTAAGCTGACCACCGTACTGAAGGATACTAGCATAAGACCAAAATGTGGGTCTTTCGCAGCAGTCAATGTCACGTTGCCTCATTGAAGTGTGCAAAGCCACTGAAAAAACTCTTTGTTCTCATCACATTACTTTTGCAAGTTCGGACGCAGAGGAAACAGAGGCGAAACTATATTTCTATGAAAAATGTGGCATTTCGGCCGTGTTATATGCAATAGATGGCACATACATTCAAATGATTAGACCCCCAAAACAGAGCATTCAAAAAGAATACGTTTGCATATATTGTTACATATAAAGAGCCTTATTCTGTATCACGAACGATAGGCAACACGAACGATTCGTCTGCACAGGAATGCTTCAACAATTATTCCGGCGGTATCATTCTTGCCGGTTTAAATGCAACCGGGACCATTTCAACGCAATATATGAAAAGCAAGACGAAGACCACCGATAGAGTAATAAAATCACAATCAGCGATGTTGTCGTCCGCAGACGAATCGTTCGTGTTGCCTATCGTTCGTGATACAGAATAAAGCTGTAAGTCTTGTGACTTTAATTGGCACCCAACAATCGTCCTCTACTACGGAAGGAGAAGAAAAGTAAAGAAACTTATAAACTTAAAATTAAGTCGTATGACTTAAATGGAGCCCGAGCAAACGGCATCGGTTTTCCCACGAAAAAGGGATAATAGATTAAATTTTAAGTTTAATCATAAGACCTTAACTGGCACCCAAGAACAGTAAAATTTAAATTTAGGTCATTAGACTGTAACTGGAACCCGAAGAATATAGCTCAACTAAAAAAAAAATCATGTATAAATATCTATTTACTTTCTAAGAGCTTCCTTGCCTTCGTTAACTTTTACTTCGAGACCAAGTGCGTTGATTTTGGTTTAACATACTCATAGCGTTTCCCTGACAGGGGATCATTTATTTCATAGAATATTAGCTCGCTACACCGATCTTACTAACAACTCGTCTAAGGTAGGCAAAGGATTAAAGTTTAAACCTAAATAGAAAGTACACGGTTAGGTTGCAACACAAGCAAACAGATAATGTAAATACATACAACCTGTTGCAAAACGCCCATCCCTGACGCGTTAAATATTCATCGATGTAAGCTCATCGCTGTTTTCGAACTTCCTTTTGTTCCATTCGCTGCACTTGCGAATGATAAATTTAGTAGTGTCGTGAATATAGCAGAGGAAGGGCGCAAACTGCGGTGAGTATATTTGTAGTGTTCGTAAATTTGGTCATTTTATATGTTGTATTAAATTCATGTACATTTTTTCCTACAGAAATAAATAGTTGTTACCAGGCCATCCGGCACTATTATATTTCATCGCCTTTTGATNCTACAGTAGTAACAGCAATGTCCATATTGTCCCACGAATCGAAGGAAATGATGATGACATAGAAGATTGTGCCGAAGAAGTGGATATGAATGTGTCCGATTACATATCAATACTATCACACATGGATTAAATAATATATATGAAGGTATTACGTCTGAGATTAATTGTGTTCATAACCCACTGGACAATATAGATGTGAGGATGGCTGCCATGGATTCGAAACTAGACAACCTCTCTGGTGTTCAAGATAATCATAAGGAGCTGGACAAGAATTTTATGCATATAAGAACAAATATATTAGATATGCAAACCAAGATAGCGGACATCAATGCGTGTGTGAAGCAAGAGACCGTACAACAAGCGACCCTCAAAGGAAAAGTATACACAGCTTCAACAACCACTCAGGCTAAACCTGGAAGTGGAAAAATAGGGGTAGAACAGGTATATGATGTTCTAATGCAAAAATACTCTCCAGAATTTAAAGAGGAGTTCAGTGAGCAGCTATACCTCCCGGCTAGTCAAAGTCTTGACCAATCAGTTGTATCTCCGAGAGATCAACTCAATCTTCTTCAAATGATGTTTAAAGAAATTTCAGGAAAAGACAAAATCAGCATCGTTAGATTCTTCTTTAGTAGCTCTTAGAAAGTTGAAACTACATTGAAAGCCAACATAAAAGGGCATGCAGGATATACCGCGATGCGACTTTACTCATGTAAGTAAATTAAACAAGTATATACGTAGATATGTACATACAATTAGTAAAATAGATATGTACATACATGTTAATAAATCGCATTATAGCAATATCCTTGCACTATGTACATTCGATTGTGATTTTTTGCAATTGAAGCAATTATTAATTACAAAGTATGTTAAATATTTAACTTTTTTATAGGACCCCTGAAACCCCTAAAAATGCAATGGAGGCACAAGTAAAAAACAACAGTATTAAAAATGGTAAAATAAAACAGAGTTTTCCGATCGAAAAATATTGATTTTCAAGATTTTTATACCATTTCTACGAAGAGTAATTTTTCCCCGTATAAGAAACATGGAAAACTTTAAGCGGTTTGAGCGTTCTCTAAATATTTTTATCTTGCTAAATATTGCCAGCAATTTGGTACTTTGACAGCTACATTTTTATATGCGCGATAAATGCGTGGCGGCAACATTATTGATATTTTAATATAAAAGAAAAAATTGAGCTGTTTTCTATTAAAATATTTAGTATTATGTATTTAGGTGTGAAATACCATATTTTTTATATTTTTCAAGTGATTAATCCGGCAGAAATAGCCGTCTTAGAAATGCTTTTTCAAGATAAAAAATGCCCACGACAAATATTACCTCTGATAAAATTTATGTCAGGCAATAAAAATGACAGTTGGTAGAAAAAAACTTTTGCTTGTGGAAACAGGCCGTTTTGGACCACCCTAATGTACATATGTACATACACATCGCACCCTAAATCAAAAACAGTCACAAAATAAAAAAACCGTATTTTTATATTTTTCCAGTTAAAGATAGTCAAGAAGAAGAAGCTTTGGCGGATGTTACAGGTTTCTGTGTTCTGTTTTATGGGAAAAAATAAGTTTTTAAAAAATTCGAGTTTCAACTGTTTTTTAGGTACATACTTATGTAAATCACTAAAACGGCGTTTATGTAAGTAGATTCGGATTGGTTACCCAGATTAATTACGTTAGTTTCATTTTTTGATTAAATATGATTTTGGGCTTCCATAAAGACATATGTACATTCTTGAAAATTAATGACATTATCTACCTACGTTCAGACATATGGCTACCATTTTCAATTATCTTACATTGCGCAGCTACTTTGTGGCAAAAGGAAATATTACATACAATTTTTCATAAAATGCAGACTTATTTAATATCGTATGCATATTTTGAAAATTTCTAAATATTTTAAATTCCCTTATTGTCACTATATAAAGTAATTGTTATTTACTTTAGATTGCCATAAAACTATTTATCATCATTTCCCATTTGGTAATTGTACCAATCTACAAAATGCATTCATACATGTATGTATGTACATATTTGGAAGCACTTTGAGATACCTATCTACTTATATATAACGTACATATGTATAGTTCTTAGCTAAATATATCATATCTATGTATATCATATCACGACCATTTTCTTTAGATATGCTTTTGTTAAATGGCTTTACGTTATTGTATATGTATGTTCATCTAGTTTCGTTTGAAAAAAGTACGTTGATAAATCAGTATAAATTCGAAATATCAATACATACATACGTATCAAACCAGGCAAAACTCGGTTAATAACTGCCGTCTCTTCAACTGCATTCTCATGTTAAACTTCCATGCCTTCATCTGATCGTTTTCCTGCTTTATTTAATTTTAGTTCAGCTGCCAAATTAGTTTTCTCCGTACGCGTATGCCAAACCAGTACATCTCGACAATTATTTGCTAAGGGTTGAAGTTGTTGTTTTGTTGTTATGTGTCGCAAAATCTCACTTTCTTGGTAGCCACGTTCCACTTCATAAGCAAATTGTGCCTGTGGATATTTGAATAGCAAATCCGTGCTAATGGCAAATGCCGCCATATCTATGGGAAATGGTCGTTCTGGCCGCCATGCAGCATTAAAGCCAACAACTTGGGTTTTATCAGCATTGAGTAATGGTTTTTCCACCATTAGACCACCTACTAAACCGACTGGCCATATACCAACTCGGCCAGCTTCAATTTTAGCCATTTCAGCAAAAAGTTCAACACTGTAAGAATTGTCATCATCCATAAAAAATATTACACTTTGCCGCTGTGGATCTACATTTGTACGTATCCAACTTAGTGCCAAATTTCGTTGTTCAACGCCACGTGGTTTCAGCCAATTGGGATCTTTGCCTCTTAATTTAAAATTTACCGGGGTTTTAATGTGGAGATGTGTTGAACGTTCCGCCAAACCAGCACGCGTCAACAAGTTGCGCACAAGTGACGTAGTTGTATTAGCGTCTTCAATGATGATCCAATGCAAGTTGGGCACAAGCATGAAAATATGAGACAATCTGTATAAGTAAATAAACCTCGTTACGAATTACAAGAAAATAAACAACAAAGGCTATTTTGGATAGCGTAGCTCTCTAAACCACTTTTGTACTTGAATAAACCCATATTAACATAAGTACAAACATACCTCGTTAATTCAGCTTTTTGCGATGGCCGTGCATACGTTGGTGTTATGGCATAAATTGTTGGTAAAGTGCCTTCCACATGCCGAGCGTACATGGTCTGTAAAAACTCCGGACCCTGGCATGTGCGTTTACCATTACGATGAACCATCAGCAATATCACAAGGAACACTATAATAAGTACGAGTACTTGTCGTGGACGGATACGCATTTCAGACATGTTGAAGATATGTACATATAACTTATTTTATTAGCTCGAATTGCTGATGCAGCGGAAAAAATTTACACAAGCACAAGAAAGACCTAGGTAACCACGTAAAAGTAAATAAATTAGAGTACATATCTTACGTATTAAATTTCAAAGCGCACTACATGCTTAGGCATGCCAACTATGTATCGATGTTTTTGAAACATCGATAATTTAGTTCAAAATTCGAAGTTAGCCATCGATGTTAACAATTTACTAATACGATGTTTCCACACTTCGTAATTCGCAAAGTAATTCGTGAATTGCCTTGTTTCCACACCACACTTTAGTTATTCGTTTGGCAATTCTAGTTCTTGTTCTTCGTTATTTATTATTATTTTTGTGTACTGCAAATATCGGAAATAGAGCTAAAATTTAAGTTATTGTCAACAATTTTAATTTATATAGAGAATATTTTATTAATATTATTCTATAACTAGAAAAAGTGCCAGTAAATGGGACCAGGCCGGTGAAAACTTCGATATATTTCCGATAAATATTAGAAAAGGAAGCGATTCGTTCGTCATTCGCATGGTAATTCAATCTGAATTACGTACAAATGAGGTAGTTCGCTCTCATAATTTTGTATGGCGAATTACGTAATTCGGAAGGTAATTGGAAAGGCGAATGCCGAATGGGAGAGCGAATTACGGAGCATGGAAAAATCGTATAACATCGAGAAATTGACAATACATCAATGGCAATTTTACAGATGTTTTAAACATCGACTTTATGGCAGTGATCGGAGTTCTACCACATTGTGGTAGATCTGCCACTCTTTTGAGCATCTACAACATCTACCACACAAGGTCTGAAATCTACCACATATTCGCGTTTTTGAGTAGTTTTATTTTTGCTCGACATAATTTTCTTAATTTTAAGAGCAAAAATTGTCCAAACAATTTACCATTGGAGGAATAACCTAGCAAAATGAGGTTTTAGTTCCCAGCCATTTAAATTTTAATCTGAATAATAAATTCTGACACATAAGCAACCATTAGAGGAATAACTTGTTTACTTGTGGACCATTAAATCACCATACAATTTTAATTCGATATAATTGACAAAGAATAGAAAGCAATAAGACGTACGATACATATATAAGCAGAAACTTTTGCACTTTTTAATTTGATATAATTGACAAAGAATAGAAAGGAATAAGACGTACGATACATATATAAGCAGAAACTTTCCAACTGAACGCTCTTGTAAAGTATTGTGCTTGAGCGATTCAGTTCGGGGGCTCTTATTACGCCGTACGACAAGAAAGAATCGATCGAATGATCAATCGATCGAAACTATGGGCCAAATATATTAAAACTGCCCTTTTAATGTTTCACTATGACGTCAGGATTTTTTTCAAAGGACATTGAAATTTTAAAGATATAATTATCTTAAGGATATTTAAGCTAAAAATTTGTAAAGAACATTTTCCATACCCACTCGTGCTTATGCACCAAAAAATTTATTCTCTTATAATTCTGCAGAATTTTTTCTTTTATATGATACCCTTATATGTGCGTAAGTACGCTTTTTATTATAATTTACCCATAGTTTAGCGAATATATTCATTTTTGTGTGTAAAATTTACTGTCGCACGGTGTTATCTTCTCTAGCGTCAGATTAAATAAATCGCATGAAAGGGAGTCACGTTTTCTGAAACCTCGTTTGGTATGAAACAGCTCGGACGGTGCTACATGGCTCGCGTTGCGTCCGATCGCAATGTGGCCCTATAGGTGGAATCTTTTTTCTCTGCAGGTTCTTGACATTCCTCATCGTACCAGTTTTTCTTTAGGGCTCGCTGAAATACGACTACTTCTTCGGGTACTTAATGAGCGGGAAATGAGGTTTCACTGCTTGCGTATGTCGGTTTGTAGAAGAGGGCTCTCAGAGAGCGGGTGTGAGAGTCGAGTGGCAAATAAATTGGCGGTCTGTAGTGAATGCAGCTTTCCTTCCATTGTTGGGCGCACATTTTTTGCTGCGCAGATGCGGGTGCATATCTAGGCTGCAACAAGATAGTTGCCCAAGTCGATGTTTGGCTCTCGGAGTGTACGTACGTCAAAAACAATGGAAGCGTGCCTCCCGGCTATCACAAAATAATCGATTTGGTTTAAAATTTTTCGATCTGTCATTCACAAGTTTAAAGGCTTTCCAACGCCGAGTGCCAGCGCGCGTTATACTTAAATAAACGCGTAGAATTTTTGACGTTTTCTGATCTCCTCTCGTCTTTACTTTGGTTTCTCTTTCTAATTTTTAGTCCTCTTTCTTTCCTTCTGTCTTTACCACCCAACCACCCACTTGAATCAGGGTATTTA